GGCATCGACGCGTGCTTGGACGAGCAAAGGGACGACGGACGGTTCGCGCTCGAAAGAGCGAGGATGTCGCGCGGAACGGTATTCGTTCGCGCGTGGAGGACACCGATCAATGACGCGCTCGCCGACCGCCCCGAACGTTTTCGCTCGTCTTCCCGATTTCGTCGTTTCTCTGCGAAACCGCAACGTCTTTCGTCGCATCGTACTGCCGCGGAATTCGAGCCATCGAACGGGAGCAAAGCTCGAAAAAAACCGATTACGTACCCTCTCGGTATTCGCGAATCTTCGTCGACGCGTAATCTATCCGACCCTCCTTGCTCGCTCGAATTTGTGAATCGCGTTTCGAACGATCGAGCGACGACGTCGACGACCACCACGGATCACCGAGGGCTGGCGTAGCCGAGGGATCGAGAAAATCCGATAACGGTTCGAGATGAAAATTTCCGCGCGTCGCGGCATCGCGAAGGGTGACGATGCGAAAAAGAGAGACGAACCGAAAGCTTCGACGCGGCGATCATTTCGAACAGGCTCGGATCGCTTATTACTCGTCGCGCGAACACCGAGCAGGAACAAAACTACGTTTTCTCTTTTTAGCGAACCGAAAGAAATTTTCGCGTTAATCCGAGGCCAGAGTGAAGCTTGCGCGCGAACGAGATAGCGATCCGTCGACGTTTTCACGGTTGCCGGCCCGAGCGAGCGCGTTTTTTTCCATTCGTTCAATTTTCTTTCGACTCGTATCCTCTTCTCCCGACTCTCCGTCGATCGACGCGGTAATAAGCGCCTATCGTCGCGAAAAACAACGGATATGTAAGACGAGGTAGAAAAATGCTTGAAACGCTAACTGAGTTCGGTTTCAAAATACTATATATTTTAAATATATGCCGAATCCGTGGGCGAAATAGCGTCCTCAAGAGAAGGATGCCTTTCCAAGGTCTGTGGACGAACGCCTTTTCCAAAGGTCTCTAAACGAATGCCCTCTTCCCGTTCCGCGAGGTTTCCTAGTCCCCGCGAAACTTGAGGCCCTAGGGTTGTTTTATGGCCCGGACGTCAGGCCTCTACCCCGCGATGGTCGTCGTAGGACGGCCATGTGCCCGTCGTCCCTGCTTTGTTAGGGTGAGTCACTGGGATTTTCTAACA